TAACATTTTATTTTTTGGCCTTTCTTTTATAGTATTTGCATTTTACATTTTAAGATGGCTATCGAGTACTGTATTAAGTATTATAAATACTGAAGTGTTATATTAGCTGATATGTGATATGTGATATTTTCATCGCCTTTCAGTATAAAGTATTTTTAATGTCCATAATCGTTTCTCCTTTGACCAATGAGTTATTAGAAGTGTGTTATTCAATTTCCAAATATTTGGGGGTTTTTCAGATATCTTTATTTTTATTTTAAGTCTTTCATGGTCAGAGAACACTTTTTTATTCTTTTTTATTGTGATTTCTTTTTTGAAGGGGAAGATAATTAGGTTTGTTTGTTTGTTTGTTTAACGGAGGTACTGGGGATTGAACCCAGGACCTCGTACATGCTAAGTATGCACTCAATCACTGAGCTATACCCTCCCCTAGAGAACATACTTTGTATTATTTCTCTTCTTTAAAAGTTGTTGAGATTTATTTTGCGGTTCTGAATCGGCTCTAACTTGTTGGATGTCTCATGTGCACTTGAAAAGAATGTGCATCCCAGTGTTTTGAGGTAGAGTATCTTATAAATGTCAGTTTGGAAAATTAGTTGAAAACATTGTTCGCGTCTTCTATATTTTTATATATTTTGTCTTCTTGTTCCGCCAGTTACCAAGAGAGGAACATTGAAATCTGCAGCTACAATTATGGATTATCTGTTTTTCTTTCAGTTCCAACAGTTTTTATTTTGTGTGTTTCTAAGCTTTGTTCTTGGTTGCATACACATTTAGTGTTGTTCTGTTTTCTAGAATAAATTGGCCTCTTTATCACTGCGTAATATCCCTCTCTATCCCTGCTAACAGTCCTTTTCCTGAAGCTTGCTATGTTTAATATTAGTATATATACTCTCGCTTTCTTTTGATTAGTGCTTTGTGGTATAGTTTTGCCCATAATTTTATTTTAAACTTATCATGTCTTATAGTTAAAGTGTAGTTATTGCAGAAAACATTTAGTTGGGCCTTGCTTTCTCATCCAGTTTATCAGTCTGTCTTTTAGTTTGAATGTGTCCTGTGTTTATATTTGATGTTATTAATGATATGGTTTGGTTTAAATCTACTGTCTTGCTGTTTGTTTTCTATTTGTTTCAACTCTTCTTGCCAGTTTCCTCTTTTCCTGTCTTTTTAAGAAAAACTGGATGAGTTTTTTTAATAATTCCAATTTATCTCCACTATTGGCATATTAGTTACATGTCTTTAAAAAATGTTATTGGTTGGTCTAGGGATTGTGGTATATTTCCTTGACTTATTACAACATAAGTTCAAATAAAAAGTTCAAATAGACCCACTCTGAGTCTAGTCTAGTGCAGGGCGTCGTGTGAGAGCCTGACGTCGGTGCCTGTCTGTTCCCTCACCCCGTCTTCTGGGCTGCTGTTTGCCCGTATTTTACTTCTATACGTGTTTATAGGCCTGACAAAACCTTGTTCCTTTATTTGCTTTAGACCATCAGCTACCTTCTAAAGCAACAGAAACAAGAAAAATATTTTTTGTGTTTGCTGTCATTTTTACCGTTTTTGTGCCTTTTATTTCTTTCTGTAAAATGTCCATTTCTGTCAGGTATTTTTTCACAAGAACTTCCTTTAACAGTTATCATTATTACAAGACTGCTGTTCAGTGAATTCTCACAGCTTTCGTCTGTTGGAAAGCTTTTATTTCACTTTAATTTTTTTCTTTACTTAAGAGGCTTTATTTTTGAGAGCAATTTTACTTTTGCAAAGAACTTGAGCAAAGCGCAGACAGCTCCTGTCTTCCTTAACTGTTCGAGCACGTCCAGCTCTTCCAATAGACCTGTGATTTGTGAATCATACTCATTTTAAAGTCCTCATCTGATTGTTCCCACATCCGAGGCCGATGTCCTCACTCCTCCCCATCTCCCTGCCTGGCGCCCGCTCATCCTCTCACCCATCTCCCTCCTCGTTCCTCCACGCCCTTCTTCTCTGGCTTAAGGATCTCATTGCTGTTCATCATCATTGATTTTCCTGCCTCCTCAGCCTGGACTGAGCTCCCTCGGGGCAGGGCCTGGAACCTGCCCAGCTCTGGCCCCGGCTGCTTGCCCCGTGTCTAGGGCTCGCGGGCTAAACTGTAATCGACGAGCGGGTGAGGGAGGACGAGGCAGGAAACAAGGGCTTCCTCCGAGGTTCCATTTCCAGGGAACGTCACTGTGCAAAACTGAGCCATCCTCTTTCTTTATATTTTAAAACATACGCAAAAATAATACAAGCTCTTTGAAACATTTAGCACTGTCAGGAGTTAGTGAGATTTTCCTTCCATTTCCCACTACAATCTCCGACAGTGACTGTGAGCCGCTCAGGGTGTGTCCTTCCAGACTTTTCCTAAGCGAGTGTGTGTATATATGAGTATACTTTTGTGCACGTGTGCTGCACAAATATGCACAGACATAATTTGTGTTAAGAAATGGGTTTGTATTATAGGTAAAATTCTTCACCTTGCTTTTTCCAGTTAATGTATCACAGAGTCTTTCCTACTCAGTGCACATCGGTAGGTTCCTTTAAAATGGTTGTCTAGTGAGCCGGTATATAGATCTATCATAATTTATTTTCTTCTTTTGAGAGACATTTCTTTTAAAATGGAGGTGCTGGGGATTGAACCTGGGACCTCGTGCATGCTAAGCATGCACTCTACCCCTGAGCTGTTCCCTCCTGCCTTGATAGGCATTTGGATTGGCAGTTCTTTGCTTATATCAGGACACTGATGGCTGACGTGCTGGAGGGCCTCCTACCTGTGCCTGGGTACCGTGCCCTGAGCTTCCTGGGCACCACCTCACAGAACCTCAGTTCCACTTCTCTGAGCCACCTAGTCATTCTCTCGTCTTTCGTCTTGTCCTCTCTTTCATCTTGTTCGCATGGCTGACAGTGAGAAGTACCGGGGCCGATGCTTCTGGACTCTGCACACCCACCGTGACCTCCCCAGGTCATTCCAGTGTCAGGCAGCCAGGTTCTCCAAGGTGTCAGTGCCACAGTTCTGGAGTGGGTTACCTGGCTCCCATTCCGCATTCACAGCGGTGGATTCGCGCTGCCTCCGGGCCCCTCACCCCATTCCTCACTTTCCTTAGGAGGGCGGGCCCCCTGTGAGCACGTGACGCTGGGAGAAGCTCTGTCTCTCTGTTCTATGGCCCGACCAGCGGACTGGGGATCTTAGTTGCTTGATTTCCCAGGGGAGGTTGACATGAATGTGGTCCAGGGAAATGTAATCAGGGACTTTACCGTGTCTGTTCCAACTTCCCCAAACCTCCTGGCCGCCAGGTCGTGGCCCTTCATCCCGGGGTGGGGTCAACCCCTCCGTGGACGGGCCTGAGCTGATAGATTTCTCCCCTGTAGTACGCCGGGCCAGCACTGCCTCTCTGAATTCCACATTTCTAGTCATCTTTTCCTGAAAGGCAAGGTGGGTTTTTGACTTCAGCTTTCTCTCCTGCTGCGTAGCCAGAAGTGCTGTGTACACAAGTATTGTTCCTGGACTGTCAGGTGCTCAGAGGACCAGGCAGAGGCCGGCAGGGTCTCTTTCCCATTGGCTCAGAGAAAACTTTCCGGGGGGCCAGTCCCTTGTCCTGGGCACACTAAGGCCTCCAGGCCACCGTAAGCCTCTGCTGATCAAGTTTCCGCTCATCAGTGTCTTTGCTTAAAATGGCTTTATTGAGGCATCCTTTTCATGCAATAAAATCCACCCACTTAGAGCATCCAGCGAGGTGAGTTTGGGTGAATTGAATACACTCAGCCAACCTCACCGTCAAGTTTGAACATTTCCGTCATCCCCTTGTTTCCTCGTTTGTCCCTTTGTAATCAGTCTCCCCCCTCTCTCGCCACCACTGGTCCAGGCAGCCACTGATCTGTCTTTTGATACTTTTACCTTCTTAAGAATTTCATATAAATGGAATCATCTGGTATGTAGTCTTTTCTCTCTGGCTTCTTTTACTTAGCAAAATGCACTTGAAATTCCTTCCGCTTGTTACCAGTAGTTCTCCCCTTTTTATTGCTGAATTGTATTCCATGCATTCCCCAGGTGACAGACATTGAGATTTTTGCATTTGGTGGCCATTATGAATAATGCTAATATGAACATATGTGTACCAGTCTTTGTGTGGACATATGTTTTCATTTCATTTGGGCAAATACCTTAGAGGGAATTGCTGGGTTGAATGATAAGTGTGTACTTCACTTTTTGAGAAACTGCCAAATTGTTTTCCGAATCCCCTGGGCTATTTTCCATTCCCACAAACAAAGTCTGTGAGTTCCTGTTGCTCCGCATCTTTGCCGGCACTGTGCATACAAATTCAGTTCGTCTAGTGGGGGCGCTGCTACCTCATTGTGGCTCTTTTTGGTCTTTGTGTTCGTGCTGTCTTTAAACTTGATTTGGAGGTACCTTTGGACTTGTAGGAGGGTTGTAAAGCCATGCAGAGTTCTATTACAACTTTTTCCCAGTGTCTTGTAGCGCAGTGGTTTTTGGTCTGGGGTGATTTTGCCCCAGGTGACTTTTGGCAACATGTGGAGACGTTTTTGACTGTCACATCACGGGGATGGGTAGCCAGGGCAGTGCTACTGACATGGAGCAGGTAGAGGCCAGCCGAGATTGAGATGGCTGTCGTCTGTGCCTTTGGACCTTTTCCTTCTGCATTTGTTGGTCACTTCGTCTCTTCCCACTGTCACAGGGCCTCTTCCAAGTCTACCTAGGCCTTAAGAATCAGTCAGAAAAGGGGAGAATGGTTTTCTTTTGTCCAAGTGGACAGTTTCCACCTCCAGTGACTGCCAGGCTGAAGAACACGGGTCCCCTTCCTATAGGATGTTGGCCCACATTGGAATGGCCATCTTTGGACGTTCCTTGACGATCTCTCCTCCCTCTGGTTGGAGGGGGCTGCTTTCCTTTGCCCCCGATTGTATTACCTGCTCGTAGCACATGCCGGAATCAGCACACATGGCTCTGTGGGTCCTTTCTTGTCTCCACAGTTAGATTATTGCCAGGGGGCTACTAGATAGCTTCCGAGGCTTCAGCAACAATGAAGAAGACTTCACAATGGTAATGGAAATCATGGTCCGATTGTCAGAAAATGCAGGTTCTTAAAAAGATCGTATACTTTTATTTTTCACTTGTGCATTTTCAAGAAACTGCATATAAACTTTGATAGCTAATTGCAGTAAAACTTGTTGATTAATTGGTCAGTTTTAAGCAGTGTCTAACCATGAATGGATTTTGTCATGAAGAATGGGCATGTTACTTGACATCAAATTATCCTTGTTTTTAGGAAATCAGAATGACTCAGGGCTGTGAATGCTATTTGCCCTGGCAGTTAGGCCCTTTGTATTTTGTGTTTTTCCAGACTATTGGTTGCTAAGAAATACCAAAGCAGAAGAAGTCCTTTGGATTAGAGCAGTCCCAGTCGTTAGTTGTCCTCACCTGTGATCTCTGTGGGCTAATCTTGATTTCTCTTTCTCGTTCTGCCTCTCCAGGCTTGTTCTCTTGGAAGAAAAGCACACACTGCCTTACGGTAGACACTCAGGTGCTGTCCGTCCGCCCGCCCCCCACCACACACAGAGTCAAGGTGGGTAAGGTGAGTGACTAGCGGGGTTGCCAGTACCGACGGCTGCTCTGCACCCCCTACACCCCACATTTACAACGACCGGTGAACAGCTTCAGAAAGTTTCCGAAATCTTAGGCTTGCTTTAGCTTTTGGTCATTTTTAACTGAAAATAGAAAAATAAGCCTTCCACATAGCTCCCTTATTCGTTTAAAATATTCATTTGACTATGACACACCGCTTTTAAAAAGGCCCAAGTGGATGTTTTGAGCCCTTAAATGGATTCTCTTGGTAAATGAGTCACCATTTACAGCGCTGAAGCAATTATATATTTGTGTTAAATTTAATGTGGTCTATTGGAGCCCGAGCTGCTCTTTTATTTAATGCTTTGCCTCAGAAATAATTGGGGTGCATGGATTGTGGGGGAGTGCATTTATGAAAGAATTATTTATAATGTATACATTCTGGCTGGAATTTAAATAAACACAGCCCATAGGTCTGGCATATATGCCATTAGTTGTAATGGCTTTTGGACGCTGGCCCAGCGTGGAGACCTCTGGCTCCCTCCTGGATTTATATATGGCTTGTTATAATAGAGTTGTCATTCTCTCTTCTTTTTATGTTTTTATATTGCCGTATAGCTTATTAGCTTTTTAAGCTTGTCTGTAGCATAAATACTCTAAATGGGAAATGATTTTTAAACTGCGTTTGTGTAATTTCCTTGATGAAGTATTTTAGTAAGGAAAGCTGGAAACTTTTGATACCTGTTATAGAAGATGCTTGGCTTATTCTTTTATAATTCTTTTCTTCCTTTTTTGTTGCTGCAGTGACCACAGTGCGGACTGAGCTGATGGAGCAGATCCCTCCCATTGCCATTTTTTTTTTTTTTACAAGAAAGTAGATCCTAATTTCCAATGTGCTCTCTGAATTTTTCCCACCCATCGTGGTGGGGTACCTCACAGATCCAAACAATCAGGTGTGAAAAACGGTAACTTTAAAGATCTCTGGAGCAAATCCTCTTTTGTCGTATTTTAGCTAGTATTCATAATGCAGAAGACAGCTTCTTAAGAGTTAAGTGATTCAAGAACAAAAGGTCTGTTTGTGCCCAGTTTCTCTAATCACAGAGGAAGGTAGCCCACACTCATTCTTCTTATCATGAGATATTTCTTTTTTGAAAAAAAAAAAACTTTCTATTATGGAGATTTTCAAGCACACATAGCAGTAGAGAGAATATTAATATGAATGTTCATGTACTCTTCACCCAGCTTCAACTATCATTAACACTTGACCAGTCTTCTCCCATTTATCTTGCCTAGATAAATCAAAGCCAGATAAAAGCATTTCCCAGACATTTCAGCTATAAATGCTTTAGCATTACTCCCTAAGAAATATAGGCACTTAAAACAAAAACCTATAATGACAGTACCATTATCACAAGTATAAAAATTATCAATAGTTCCTTAATGTCGCCTAATATCTCTGGTCACTGTTCACATTTTCCCAGTTTTCTCAGGAATCTTTTTTTTTTGCGGAAAGTCTGTTCAAATCAGAATACACACAAGGTCCACACGTTGCCTTTGGTTGATGTGTCTTTCACTTCTCTTTTAATTTCTCACAGTTCTTCCCCCTTTTCTATCCTGCTATTTGTTGAGGAAACGGGGTCACTCATCCCGTAGGATCCCTCACATTTTGGATTCAGCTATTGGCGTGTCCAGCATTGTTTGAGATGTTCCTCTGTTCCCAGGATTTCCTCCAAACTGCTGAAGTCCAGAGGCTCCGTCAGACTCAGATTTTTGTATAGTATAGCGAGAACGCTTTTTCGGTGCTGCTGGGTTTCCCTGCTGCATCAAGTCAGGAGGCACAAAAGCAGTGTGGTCACTGACTTAGGGACTGTCAGCCTTACCTGTTTACTACGAAGTCCCTCCTCAGCCTGTGAGCAACCACTGGTGATCAGCACCTGCATGCAGGACTTTGATGGAGGTTGCAAAACTGGGATACCCTAATTCCATCATCCCTTCTTAATTTAGTAGCTGGAATTCTTCCATAAAGAACTTCCCCCTCAGCTATTTGGTAACCCCGAAAAACTGTTTGTCTGGGGAAGAGAGCTTAAATGCTTTACTTTTCCCCTTTATTCACCAGTTGCTGGAATAATTAGTTGGTATCCGAATAATCTACAGTGTTACCGTTAGGTTTCAAAAATTTGTTTGAGTGTGATTGTGAACTCCTGAATTTTAGCATATTAGATATGTTTCAATCCACTGTAGTTGTTATTCTTTTTTGGGGTGGGGAGGGGAGGTAATTATGTATTTATTTACTTGTAACAGAGGTAACAGGGGTTGAACCCACGACCTCATACATGCTGAGCACACACTCTACCGCTGAGCTCCCCTCCATGTAGTTGTTAATCTTTGTGATATCAAATTGTTCCAGCTTTGACCGGTGGGAGCCCTTCAGGTTGGCTCCTGAATCTTCTTCATGTGACTGGGTAGACTTTGATAGCTCACCTCTACCTGGAATCAGCCATTTCTCCGAGGAGCCTCCATTCCTTTATGAGAGAAATGATAATAAGAAACCAGAATGTGGGTAGCAGGGGTGCTTATTGCTACGAGATTGGTCGTAGCTTCTACCCACAGAGCAATTTCTTTTCTTAAAAAAAAAATTCCTCTTGTGTTTATATTGATTTTTCTAACTCAAATTTAGAATTATAGGGCTTTTAGTTACTTGATTTTATATTTGTGTCTTTTTTTTTTAACTACAGTACAGATCTTCCTTCTTAACGGTATTGATGTGTGTGGTGTGTGTGTGTGTTTATCTAAAACAAAAATACCAGTGTTACACTAACAGCACGGTAGGGTTACTGAGTCTAGTTTAAGATTTCTTGGCAGTTCTTTTTGTTTTAGGCTCTCCCACCAGAGACGCACAGTCATGGAAATATTACTGTGTTTCAAAGTCACGTTAACTCTTCTTTCTGTGGTTAAGCTGCCAACTTGATACACAGTTGGGCACATTTGTTTTCATTTATTTTTTCATTTTTAGGAATTGCTTTCGCTTTTGCATTTTGATTTAACTTAGACTCATAATTGTTTAAAATGTTTTTACATGATGCTAAAGTCAAAACTGTAAGAGAAAGTACATTGAGAGAAATCTGACTGCTGCTCCGGTCTCCCCCACTGCTCTCTCCTGCCCCCACCGCCGACCCTTTTTATTGGGTTTGGGTTTGTTCTTACCTTTACAAAAAACGCATGCACGAATAACTCCAAGCGAGCACATGTGTCTTTGTATCCTGGAAGCGGAGCTGCGAGGGGGCGTGCTGTACCCGAGGCTCGGTCCCTTGCTTTTTCTGTTGTCCAGGGTGTCCTGGAAATGAGTCCATAGCAGTGCAGGGAAGGCGCACTCGTTTCTTTTTCCAGCATCGTACTGTCCACTTGGCAGAGGCGGCATTGTTTATCCAGAGACCTGAGGCTGACGTCTACTCTTTCCCATGTTAACATTTTTTTAAAGGATTCAGTCACTCCCACTCATCCATTTGTTCAGCTGTCTCTTCCTTTTTTAATTTTTATTTTACTTATTATTTATTTTTTAATTTGGGGGGAAGGTAATTAGGTTTACTTACTTATTTATTTTTTTAGAGGGAGGACTGGGGATTGAACCCAGGGCCTTGTG